TTAGTGTTCTTTACCTGAATTAGCTCTTTTGATGGTGTTATGAAGGTTGTTCCTCGGGTTGTCCACGCCAATAATAATTTGCGCGATAATTAACTAGCATCTAATTAAACAAATTTATTCTATTCATGGATTAAAATTTAATTATGTCAGGATTATAATTAATCACGTCGACAGTTAATAAATCATAACATTCACTACAAATTATTTTATTTAGATCGAAGTGACGATATGTATTTGAACCTTGAATAAACACTACAGTAATGCTAATGATTTATTCGGAATTCATTCCTCGTATCTTATTAATTTGTTTCTTTGTTTTAATTGTGGCAGCAAAGTACATATTAGCCGAAAGGAACTTTAATGTTTTCACCTATGTTTTACGAGATATAAATATCCCTTTCAGCTATAAACATAGGAAGATAGTTGTCGGGTTGTAAAGTAAGTTCCCACGTCCGTGGCGGCGCCACTTGAGTGTCAACATGCCCTCCTCGCAACTTGTGTGGATGTTAGAGGCATCATCTTTGAGCCGCCTAACGCCACGACGTACGTATGGTGATACAAACATTCCGATCTCATTCTATGATAACTTTGCTATTCAATTAAAAACAACTCTTGTCTTTTTGTTTTGACAAAGAGAGACTACGAAAAAGCCACTCGTATGCTCCCATAATTCGCAAATAAAACTAATCTACTCTTCGATAACATCTTCCAACTATTTCTTGCTTGCATCATTTTTACGAAATAACGAATAAGATGATATCAAGTGAACCATAATGTGAGCATAGAAGAAACCAAAACAGTAAATAATTTCAAATAAAAGTCTGCGCCAATTGTTAGAAAATTCTTCCGCAATAAGGCAAATTTGTTAAACGAAATCTAATCTTGGCTCACTTCCATGCCAACCGAGAGTACTCGAGAAAGCAATTTTCTGTTTAGCTTGTCGGAAGTTCGCTTGCTCTTCATTTTGTGAAATTAAATTTTTAAGGAGTTGGGATTTATGCGAGGCAATATTCTCGCAACTATAATCCATTTAAGCGAACAACACAGCTCCAGTTTCAGCGTTCTTATTCCAAAATGGTAATTCTTGGTTTGTTTATCTGATAAGTCTGCCACCGTTCCGGGCAATTTCTCAGGTGGGTTTTGTCGTAGGAAGTGTTAAATTACACACATACGACGCCGAAAGATCCATTTGTTTGTTATATTGCATCAATCAACTTTCTAAACGCTGCCGAAAACCGCTAAATGTAAATGTCCAATTTGCGCCATCAATATTCATATTGAGTTATCACGATATGTGTGTCTAAATCGTGACACCGCAGCATGCTTAATTAATTTTATTAGATTCCGGAAAGAAAAATTGAATAAAATTTGAATCGATAAATTCAGAGTGGATCGCTGCGATCACAATGGAAAATACTAGACGCGGCCATTAGGAGCAGTTCGTTAAAACAAATAGACACTTCAAGTCAGTTAAGTGGTCTGTGTAAACACGTACGGTCTGCTGGACTTCTTTAAAATTTAATTTTTTGTCGGGCCGCTTACTAGCAAAAAGTATTTTTCTCATATTTAAATCAACAAAAGTCTTGATTGAGTTGACAAGTAAACTACAGCTTTACGGAAGCTTTTAAGTAGATTCTAAAACTTAGGGAGGTTCCAAAGATACATCAGGCTGTACTATCTTTTCACACTTGACTTTGGAAAAACAAATATCGTAAAATTTTGCATAATTGAATATAAAGTAATTTTTAATAGTCGCTTGTTGCAATAATGTAATCCGAACTAGTGTAAATATTTAATCTTGTCACAGTTCTCAAAATCCTTGGTTTATTTGTGCAAAAAGGCTCAATAAAGTGATTTGGTTGAAAAAGTTTTTGGCCATGCGACAGTCGTAAATTTGGCCATACGGTGAGTATAATCCGTTGACAAAGACTTATACGTCTCGTAGATGTAAAACAATCTGGCGTTGAAATCCTATTTTAGTACGTCGTATATCTCGCAAGCAAGCTCAAATCAGGATATTAACAGCGACAGATATCCCATCCATGAAGACAAGGAACCACTTGGTCACGCTCCACTAGTTACAAATCGAATTGTTTGAAGTCTATTTTTTTGTTTTTCTAAATGTGATCTAGGCTTTCGCCGACGTCTTGGTCGAGATAAATCAACGAGTTAATGCGGAAGGGAATAGATATACTTAACACTCGATAACTACCCTCTGATGCGCTCGTATATAGGAATGTTGCACCATTTATTACTGTTATTTATATCTGGAGGTCGAACCCACACCACGATACTATACAGTGGCGTTCCTCGAATTTTCGAATCGATTTCTCAATGATCAAATCATTAAAGGATAGGTATGTATCGTGAATCCTTGTAAAATTTTGTGTACATAAAAATCATCTTGTTCATTTCTTGTAAAAACATTAACATTCCGGATGTCATTGTCAACGTTAATTTCAAGTTTTTTTCACTTATTTTCATTAGCGGAGGCAGAGAACCTCCAACATTATAGATATGTGCTTAAATTTTGGCGCCAGGTTTATTTAACGGTTTTATGTTTGTGAATAATTAAGATAATTAGCTTTTACGGTAAAATTTTTTCGTGTTGATTTTTTAATATTCGTAATATTACGTAACAAAATGTGTTAATTGAATGATGAAGATTATTGTGTTGCAACTATGAAGACAAAATCAAGAAATAGTTATAGGTAAACAAAAAAAAACATTTAGTGCGGTAGGCTCAAATTTCTTTTGTAAAGGTTGTAATTTTTTCTTGTCATAGTGCTTTATGCTCACTATAGTAAGCAAGGAAGTCAAGTATAAGTTTTATATCCTCATACTGTTTTCCTGCCTAACAACAGGAATAAAATTTATGTTAAAGGTTTAATTTGTTTAAGCATCTTATTAAATGGACTAGTCTGTTAGGTATTTTCTGTTTTTGTTTCTTTTAAAACATTTGATACTAAAATCAATCTTTATCTAACAATATATTGCTAATCACGGATTCATTTACTGTAGTTTTTTTAACGCGTTATTAAGAGGACAAAACTATATTTTTATATGTAGATCTGAATGGCTAAGAGTTTTTTATTTATATTTTATCATTACTTCTTTTAAATGTTACAATATCATGCACTATTTTTTTTTCAACTTTCAACTTTAAAAGTAGTTTTCAAATAAAAATTATTATTATTAAAATATTACTGCACGTCCCAACAAAAAATAAACATTGGTTGCATTATAAAATAATTTGTAGATTTTTTCTGTCTTAGCAGAATACCATCAATCATGATCAACCTTTAGAAATGTTTCCTATAGTTGCACAAGATTTTATCTTACAAATATGAGACTTTTTATTTATTTTTTGAGTGGTTGGCTTCTACGTTCTTTGTGTTTCCTATTAGCTATTCTATTACTACTTGTTGCCATTTGTTTGTTCTTTTATTATTGGCAATTGCACGATTTGCGTCGATCAAGCGATTATGTGGTCTATAAAATGTAAGGTGCCTAAGATAAAGGTAGAATTCATTGGAAAAAGTGTCTGAAAGAAATACCATAATCAGAGACCACCCAGAGCATTTAACAAGCACTCATGACTAATAGCACAAGATTACAGTAATAACCGTGTCATCATAAGAGATCGGTAAGTAGGTCCGCGGTAACCCTTCATCGTAATTGCAGACACCTTCAGTGATCTAATGACAGAGGCACGTAGTATTATCAACGCCTTGTTAAATCCCAATGGCGTAACATCAAAAAGGATCTACAAAAAAATGGAGAAATATTGGAGATGATATTTTTTTGAAAATTTGGAAACACATGTTTTTCTTATCTTGATGAGGCAAATCCATTGGAAAAAGACATTTTGTTTATCGTACTACATAACAAGTCATTAAATCACGAAGGAACGTATTCGCGTAGGTACAGTTACAAACAAGCTAACATGTATTCAGTGCACTTTAAAACAAATGGACAATAAATATTATATATGGTGTATTGGATATCAAGTCCTATAATATTACAAAAACCATGTATAAACATTTTTTCGTCGATATCGTGTAAACATAAAAACATTTTATTTAAACACAATGTTCAAGGAACTACCATAAAACACAAAAGCGGGCGTGGGTAGTCTCGCAATAACACAACTTCTAATTACAAAATTACAAATGAATAAACACAAGGTACAACTCCCGGACTCAGCGTAGAAACTCCGGTTGTATCTCGTGTAGCATCACATTTAAAATTTGGGAGGGTTCCTAATTGGTTCAGTTCCCGAGCCGGGTTCCCACGAGCGAAAGTTCACCCACTCGACACGTGCTTTCTTATCTCTGTCATAACTGCAACTTGTTAACTTGCCGCTGCATTAAAACAATGCATCTAAAATTTTTCTTATTGTAACATCAGTTATGAAATTATTTCAAATTCCGCCGATTTCGTGACCACTTGACTCTGTCGATAACCCTGTGACTAATTGGTCGCGTTGTAGGCTAATGTTGGTACTGATGGATCGACAGAGCATACCATGCAATGGTTGTACACCCATGATGGATGAGCTGGTCGGGATGTGGATCGAAAACTAGAGTGCAATGGCATTTTCCAAGACAAGGCTTAAAAACCTATAAAAGGACATGGAATTTCGACCCATTTAAAAATATTTAATTAAATTCTAGTGATGAGGATTTTTGGTACGAGAACACTTCCAATGATTAGTTTCGATTTGTTACTTTAGCCTATTAGATGCTACCAGTTGAAATGAAAATTTATATACAGGTTATTTGTTGAAGAAATTAAAAAGTCGGTAGAGAACAGAGCTCCAAATTAATAATTAGGCATTATTTATTCTGAAGTAAGAGTGATACAATTACTGATAGCCACAATTTAGATTTTTACCAAAGATAAAATTTAAAGTACCTATACAACAAAATTGTTTCCACAAAGTTGAAATAAACGATATTCACGTGTAACTCTGAAAAATGTTCAGTGTGATCTAATATTTATTGTGTTATTTATAGTTAAAAGTACAACAAGTGGTGTAAGAAAAGTTATTTAGGTACAATTTAGAAATTCCATTTTAATATTAAAGTTTATTACTCTAGTGGTTGTTCTCTAAAATTTACAGTTTTAATCACAGCATTAAAATTTAAAAATTGAAGTAAATAATAAGTAAAACGGAAAATATGTTGTGAGTTTGAATAACGAATGAACGAATGTCGTGCATAGATTGTTAAAATTACATGACTACTACAGAGTGTTGGGAAAACATTGTGAATTGTAATGATGTTCACAAGAATGTTGTCAAAGTTGAAATTTCATTTATTCTAGAAGAAAAAAAAAAATTGCAGCTGTACTGATAAATTTTACAGGTATTTATGCAACTGTTTGGACTTATGTTCATGTTTACAATTCACTTTGACTACGTTTTCATTTAGATTCTCTACGTATACCCTATTTACCCTAATTTGACGTAGTATTTAATATTAATAAGTAAAATATTAATCTTATTTGCTTTTAAAAGCAACACCATGCTCCATGATGTTTGTATAATCTAGGAACAGTTAGTTAAAAATCATTAATAATTAATAATTATTATTAAATTATTTTAATCACATGATAACCAAAAAAGAACACAGTAAAAGAAAATTTGGACAGTGGCAACGAGTTCAGTAAATATAGAAAACCAAAATTGTGTGTCTGATAGTTGCAGCTATAATAATGTATCATTAATGTATTGAAAATAAAAATGTATTGTCCTTACCAGGGATACGTATGTTGAGATACAAATTATTGCAATTGACGGTAGGAACTGTAAAGTTATAATTTCTTTGAAACCATCTGTAATTAGTTGGGTGAATCTAAAAAAATATATTTAGAAAAGAGAAGGAATTGTTATTTTTTTACGTTTTAATAAGGAGGTTATGTTTTATATTCGATTAGAATTTCATTCATTACTTCATTCTTATTTTTCTGTTCTGAAATTTTGATAGTTGCATTTAGTTTGTGTAAGTCGAGTACAGGTGAGTGTATTACACTGAGCTGTAATATGCAGCAAAGATAAGAAAAAATTTACAATGAAAAAAAAAACAACGAAATAGACCAACTACTATATGAGTAAAAATATATTGTACTCGAACAAATACGGTTTGTGATAATCAAATTGAATCCAGTGTTCCGTAGAAAAATCTTATTTGTGTCTTAACAAAGAAGATATAAATATTTGGGTTATACAACCAATATACACTACAAAAAATATAATTTGAAGTGAAATTTTGTTATATCAATGTAAAAGAGTTCTTTGTGTTTTGTTTCTTGGTTGAAATTTTTGCTGCTGTTAGTTGCCATAATTCGGTGGTTTTTTAGAATTTTTTGCGCAATATTAAACTTTTCAAAACTCTTTTCACTGAACTAACTGCGATTTCAAAATTTTTAAATTTGCAATTCAGAAATACAGTTTGTTAAAGTAGTTACGACAAAGTTTTTCTAAATTTTATAAATTACGCTTTCGGTTGGAAAATGCCAAAATCCAAAATTTTGAGTAGACGGTTGACATTATCGAAAGGTTCAAATAAATTAATTCACCACCACCATGTTTCACAACTACTAGTCAGTGAGATAGGTACAGAAAGAACTTCTTTGTGTTATATCATTTACCATTATGGATTCTTCTTGGAACAAATAAGTTAAACACTTGAATTTTGAATTGAAATTTCTTATTAATAATAAATTATTTTATTTAATGAGAAGCTCGTTTGCCCAGTAGCATTTCAACCATTCCGACACTAGTGTTGTGAATATGGTTAGTATCAGATTGCAAAATTAAAGATTTTGCAGATTTTTTTTTCACTGGTTAATGTGATTCTCACAAATGGTCTAGTACAATTTATATAGTATCTTTTTATAAAATGATAGCTTCTTTGCGCCGCGTCTATAAATACCCAGTACCTCATTATCTGAACACAACCACGTGACTCGGTTTGAACCAATCCAGTTAGTACAAATCATTCAAACCACTGGCAAAATCAAGACGTGAAAGATTGCGTGTAAATTGTTTTCCGCCTCCCTTTTCAAGAGTCTCTAGTAATAGGCTGTAGTTATTACGTCATTATCAGTTTAACATTAATGTCGTTTAATTGTAGTGTCAATTTATTGGTGACGAATTGATGTCTTTAGACGTAATTGTATAAATAGTAAAATATTACAGGAATACTCTATAAAAACACTGTTCTCTGCGGATGAGCGTGTCATGAAGATTTTAAAAATGAATTAAATTTGATTCTTTCGTTATTTTTATTAATTTGTTTTAAATCCTGTAATTTATGTTAATACCTTATATTTGTTAGATGCAGAAAATGAAATGTATAAAATTTGGACAGTGGCATTGAGTTCAGTACATAAATAAAATAAAAACATAATAAAAAAACTCTGAGCTTATTTATCAGTGCAATTTCAAAGTGAAAGATAAACAAAATGCAGGAATTACAAAAAAACAATGAACTCCATTAGTATGGTATATAGGTAACATACATGTTTCAGCAAATAAAGTTAGATTTTACATTATAAAAATTATTCCTATTTCTCGGAAACAAAAAATAGCAAAATACATACTTGTATTTACTTCATATTCTAAGTGCAAATGTGATTTTTGTCAAGTATTGATTATTGATTGATATTCTAAAAGCTTTAGTGAAATACAGACTACTAAATGTACCTGCCTACATAAACTAAGACTAAAAGCTTTCTCATATGTGTCCAATTTTTGCATTTAAGAATTAAAAAGTAATCATTAAAAATTATCGTTATAGTTATTAAAATAGAACAATATATTTTACGCTCAGTATTTTCGAAATTCTCTTCTGAAATCTATTTGCCTGATAGAACTTATCCAAAGAACTTGTAAGTACCTGTTATTTACGACAGAGTTCTTTGGATAATATAAATTCAAATATCCTGTGTACTTTTAAGAGCAACACAGATGCTCCAAGACATTCGCATAATCTATGATAAATGTGATTAATACTTTAATTAAATCAGAATTAATAAACTCACCGATTTAAAGGTCTCGTAGTTTATTGCAAAAATATTCCAAGCCCAGAAAGTTATTGGTTCTTGAAACGTCATCATCAACGTGATCAAATTTTTTTTTAAGTTACGTGACGACGCATACCATTGCGATTCAAAAGTGGCATAAAATAGTTTTTCACTCTAAAACAATGCTTTTTATGATATACAATAATTACAGGTTTGTTGAGAGATTCACTGTAACCGTAACCAGATTACCAAAAAGGCAATAAAAGAAAATTTGAACTATGGAACCAGCTCCAACAAGAACGAATTGAAAAAATAGCGAACTTGATTGGTCTAGCTGTGTAAATATATTTATAATTAATAAAATAAAAATTAAATATTTCTTACTATAAATATGTTATACATACAAAAACAAATCATTCCAACCGAGGGTATTAACTGAAAGGTTATAATTCCACCGAAGCAATCTGTAATTAAATTAGTGTACCTAAAATAATACAATATTTTTTTTAAATCTCTAGTAAGTTGCTTTTCTTACCTTCTAATGAGTAAGTAATGTTTCATACATTCGATTAATATTTCGTTCATAACTTCGTCTTTACCTTTACCTTCTGAAATTCTGTGAGCTGCTTTTAATTTGTCTAAATCATGAATATTTCTAAGAGTGTTAGCAAGTACATCACACTGTGCTATAATCTGCATCAAAGAAAAAAAGAAGCAAGAGTCCAAAGCACAATTTACGTAAGAACAAAGATAAACAGTAATTGCTGTATGAAGATAAATACATTGGTACAAAAAGGGCTTGTGGTAATCAAAAGGAAACCAGTGATCCGTAGGTAAATCTTTATGTCTCATCCACGATGATATAAGAATTGCATTTACACAACAAAAATACACTCCGACAACATATACTTTGAAAAGTAACTTGATCGTTGCATTGTAATTTTTTAAAAGAGTTTTTTGTTCTTCGTTCCTTGGTTGAAATTCTGGTTGTTGTAATTGATTCCACGATTCAGTAAATTTTTGGAAATTTTTGCGAAATAAATAACTTTTCACAACTGCTTCCGTTGCACCAACTGCAAGTGGTAACGCTTCATAAGCTTTATCTGTATCAATAAATGCGTATTTCAATCCATAAATGTCACTTGTTATGGAAAATAGAAAACATGATATTATAACAAAGTATTTGTATATTCTATAAAACGTATTTTCATCAGGAGAATTCCAACATCCCAAATATTTTAACAAAAATTTAACGTCGTCGAAAACTTTTATCAAGTTTATTTTTTCTGACATAGCTTTTTGATTTTATGTAGTTACTGGTTGTAGTTGAGTTTATGTTTAAACGAAGTAAGGTTTGTCATTGCTCTTATAGAGTTGTCGGAGAACGAGAGGGACCTGTGGGCGGAGCTTAGCTGCGCAATTGTGAACATACCAGTGGCGTAGAGAAAATGACAAGCAGCACATTGGAGCATCATGCACCCTGTATGTTTTTTTTAGTTAACAAATACTTAATATTATGAAACCAAAATATTTAAAAATGGTAGAGATACCGAAAAAGATGCAAATTCATAAGGTTTCAAAAAACACGAAATATTTCGAAAATGGCTAACGCCTCAATCTAAAATTTCATGCCTAATACGGAAAAATAATACATTTCCTATCTCATTACACAAATAGCTATTACATTAATCGATGACATTAACTTAACTTGTTAATTTTGATTAAAACATAGTGATGGTTAGTACCATCTGTTGGCGGCTGATTTTCTCCTATAAATTATCTGTCAATCTGACATTTCTGGAAAATCTATCCAACATACTTTGATTTCTAATTTAAAAGTAATAACATATTTACTTTAGCAGTTAGTGATATTGGTTGGTTGCGGCAAAAAAAAATCAGAAATAACCCTCTCGTGATCAACCCTGTACAGGGTGTTTTATTTTTATTGTTACAAATTTAAATAGATAATAGAATATTTAATTTTAAGACAAAAGTTTTCTATAAACATATTTCAAAAAATGCTATGTAAGGGAGCTACATCTCTTAAAAGGGGTACGTTTTTTAAAAGGTTTTTTCCAAATTTCAGAATAGATAAAATTACAAAACTTGGTACTGCTGATAACTATTATACACCTAAACGAATTCTAAGATGAGATGTGAAAATTTTTAATCAGAGGCGTCCTAAGTGGTAAAAAGAATTTAATTTTTAATTTTTATGCTATTTATGGTCAGTAACATAAATTGTAAAACCGATTTTACTCAAAATCAGTAAGTTGTATCGGAAAAACGCATAGGACCTTTTTATGAAAAACTATGAAATTTAAAATTTCGTTACTGAAAGTGGTAAGAAACTACAGAGAAAATAGTTAGGGTACTTTTTACCCTAAACCCAACCAGTTTAGGAAGCCTCTGATTAAAAATTTTAACAGTTTATCTTTAAATTTATCATCTGTACAAGTTTTTTTAAATCGTTTCAGAAATATTGGAAAAAACCTATTTAAAACCCCTTTGAGAGAGTGTAGCTTACTTGCGTATCATTTTTCGATATACATGTTTAGTGGAAACTTTTGCCTTAAAATTAAATATTCTCCCGTTTAATGTAATAGTCAAAACGGAACTGCCCTGCATACATATGTTGTCAACAAGTGGCGAAGAACGTTTTAACAATTTTAAATTTTGACAATTGACAGTGGTAAAAATAAAGTTAACTATCCTAATGCTCTCTTTACAACTTTATGTCACTCAAGTGACATTGATGATCAAAGAATTTTGTTCCCAATAGTAATAAACCCGCAAAAATTCAGTTAGTACGTTACTGTGTTATCGTATTTTCAACTCAATTGTTGTCAAAAGTAAGGTCATTTATTTTCAGTTATTTATTGTAGTTTACTACGATATTTATCGTAGTTTCGTAAGTAATTACGAAAATAACAAAAAACACTGTAAGAGTTGTCTTAAGAAAAACATATTTATAACAAGCAGTGGACGAAACATAAAAATGTAAAAAGCAAAAATCAGGAAATAAATTTATTTAAACAGGTAATAGCAAAATTACCATATTTACTGAAGTAGAACGCGTTTGCAATAATTGGGCTTGTGCGCAGACGCAGACCACGTGACAGGTTCATCTCTGCTTCTCCGACGTCTAAATTAACCAAGGGAGCAAATATTAATGCACAGTGTATTATTTAAATGTCAAGTATTTTTGATTAGTAAAAATAACGAATGCACAGAAAAAATAATAAGTGCAAAGTAAACTAATAAATGCACAGGAGAAAAAATTAAAGCACAGTAGAAATAATAAATGCTCAGTAAAAATAATAATGACAATGAATGAATGTTCAGTAAAACTAATTCATTTAATATTCACACATTTAATTTTCAAACAAAATGTTTCCGAGCAAAACCGGAGTGTTGCAAAGTGTTCAAAAACAAAATCGTGCTATCAAGAGCACAACAGTACAAAGTTTGTCGTAGGTACGCTAATTAGACTGATTACTATTTGCGCACAGTTTCCAGCACTTGCTAAAATCATTTTTGCGCAGGGGCCTTTGCCAATACATCATATACCACCCTTCAATTATAAATTTTAATAAATATTCAGTAATAAGTTCCAATAATAAATAACATTCTTGCCCAGGGGCCGGCCATACTACTAATCTAATACTACTAATCTAACCAAGACTGAAGACTTAAATTGTATGTTATTTTACTAGTTCTGATTAAAGTTACTTAACGGTTATTATTTTTACTGTGCAATTTGGATTTTTTTATTGTACAAATACATTAAAATACTGTGCATACTTTATTTACTTGACATTTATTATTTTTACGTTGCAAAATATTATGTTATATTATATTATACTTATTGTTTTTTATTCTTTACTGTGCAAAAATTAATTAACAAAATTAATTTAAATTAAATTAAATTAAATTAAAAAAAATAAATGCAAATTTACATGTAAAGAAATTCTATAGACGACTGGATGGATGAAAGTCATTTTGAAACACGTTGTTGTTAAAAACTCTTGTTGTCTTAATAATAGCTATAAAAACACTGAAACTTTTATATGAAAAATAATATTTAAGGCATTTTTTTGGATATTACTTTAGGTATTTTTTGCGGTATTCATTTAATAATTTAAATCTATTTATTCTTGAATTTCCTGAATATTTTTCATTGCCACGAAGAAACTCCAACATTTTTGAAGAAGCTAAAATTGGAAAATTAACACATATTTGTTTACCATTTATTTACAAATTTCTAATTTATGTTGATCTCAAGTTCTCAACAAGAAAGATAAACATCTTTACCGATGTGTTCAAAAACATAAACAACTTACTCCACCAAATGTTTTTAAATCGACGGGAAAAATATTCCAAACTAATAGAGAAATAGGTTTTTGGACTTGATAAGCAAAGATCATTAAATTCTTTTTAAGTTTAGCAGACATATCGTACCATTTTGATTCAAACACGGCATAAAATAATCTTTCACTCTACAAATACAAAATGTGTATTTAAAAAAAAATTGTGTAGTTATGCCTTTATGATAACTTCATTCCCAAACCAACAATACAAAAAAATCTCATTAGTAGCTGAGATCTGAAAGAGAAAGACTTGGAAAAAGTGGCCACTCATCGGTTCCGACTGGTGAGATAATTTTAAATTAAAATTAATTAAAAAGCAAATTAGTTTCGGCTTACTAATGATAATTCGTACATTGATACACATAACATTAAACTAGAGCACACAAACTGCACCATTAAAATTTCTTTGAAAGAAGTGGCAATTGATTTGGCAAATCTGTAATAGTTAGTTGTGTTTATTTTTCACGATTTTTGACATAATTTGTTACTCTTCAATGAGTCGATAATGGTGGATGCAGTCAATTAATTTTTTGTTCATTGCATTATTTTTTTCGTAATTATCTTCTAGATTAGTTTCTGTCAGTTCATCCATATTTCTGATAGTGTCACAAAGCACATCACACTGAGCCCCAATCTGAATCATTGCAATTGAAAAAAACGTGTCTAAAGCCACATTGGAGAAAGCATGAAAGATAATACAACTGCATTCGAAAAGATAAAGCAATTCGTACACAACTGGTAATCGGTAATCAAAAGGAATCCAATATTTCGTTGGTAAGTATTTTCCTTGTTTTGTTAAAGGAAGTATCATCCACATTCCAATCATGACAATAACTAGTCCAAAAAATGAGTAAAACACGTGTCTCGATAAGGCAATAGAATCTTTGAGTATTTTCTCTTGAGTATCATTCTTAGGTTGAAACTCCTTTTGCTTCAAATTTTGCAAACTCTTTCTAATAAGATGGAAATTTTTTCTAAATAATATCGCTTGCAAAACCACTTCTAGGGACCCCGGTAGGCTGTAAATCGTGTCTGTAACATTTTTAATTCGAATGTTGAGAGCAACATAGATTATCAGAGAAGTGCTATCAAACACTAAAGAGCCTTGGACGAAATACTTGAATAATTTGTAAAAACTTTCGTTTTCAAAAAACCACAATCCCATGGCTTTTAATAGGACGATATTTTGCTTGAAAGCTTCTTTGAGATTAAGCTGCGACATGCTGGTTAGTTAGTACAAAGTGATGTATGTGTCTTGGCCACTGCTTAAATAGGCAAACTGGTGCGGGAATAATACATCTGTTGGACTAATGATGTGTTATTATAAATCCAAACCGATGTAACAATTATCTAATTTTGTAATGTTTGTATTATGGGGTAGGAGCACAGTAATGTATTATTTAATGTAATTTAGAATGTAAATACGTATTGACAAAATTTAATTTTATGCTAAATCGTCGTTCAGATTTTCCTAATTTTCATAATTCATTTGATAAAACGAGTGGAACTTTCGAACTGGTGTGGATCTTCTTTTAAATTATCTTTCGCAATCACTTTTTAAATTAAGTTTCCTGTCAGTGTTTCAACGTGCCGCAAACAAACCATTTATTTCTAATAAAAATAAATTATATCGAGGCACTAAGTAATATGCATAATTATCAACACCTATTTTGAAACCACTGAAGTGCATAATTTTAGAGATAAGAGTTACATAAAAACATCGGTGTCTGAATTATTAATATATCTAATTAGAAGTTTCAATATCTTAAGGCGAGAGATTTTGAACCAGTTAAAATTAACACTCACTCAATAATTATGTATCGAAAAATTTATCTCAAAATGCTACTGTTAATCGATTACCCGGAATAGAAATTAAAGAAAAGTTGTTTCAAATATTTGTGTTAGAATGTGGGTTTGTCTAGTGCAGCTTTTTACTTCAAAAATTTAAAAGTTTACTAATTTAATTGAAAAAAGTGGAAACTCGAGCGAAGTTTATGAAATATAACTACCGGAAAAAGTAACAGAGGACATAAAAAAGCTATTTCAATTATTTTTAAAATTTTTTTATAGTTTACAGTATAAGTATATGAATAATAATCTACCTACTGCAGGATTGTTGTTTCTAAGGTGCATTTTCATATTCTTTGAAGAAAGTTTTAGGTCACTATAAGAAAATTGGTAATGTACTCGTTTTTATATTAATGTGGATCAAAGTAGTCATCATTTTAAGGTGGCAACCATGCAAAAATTCAAACAATCTTAGACTCAATCTTCTCTAAACATAATTTTTTCAAAGAAATGTGTGCCACTGGTAGCAAAAAATAATTAAAATTAACAACGTAATTAACATAGGGTAAGAAACATAAAGATTTTTGTTATTATTGATGATTAGATTTGTTCTGAATCGGTTTGATTCGTGTGAATCTGTCTTTAAATTAAAGATTCATTTAGACTACTACAACCTACTTGATCCACATTAATAGGAAAAATAGTATACATTAAAAAAAAATACAGTCGCGTGCAAGATATTTATTTTGGTCGTCAATGTCACTAAAATATTATTCTTTTATATTAGAAATTTTGCAATTGATACTTCGATTGATTTTGTGTCTAAAAAAATTAAAAATCGTTTAATCGTCGATTGGCTTTCTGTTAACGAATTCCAAATTATACAATAATAGTTTGTTAAAAACTGACATTGACAACCAAAACATTTTGCACCCGACTGTACTTTTACTTTGTAATGTGTTGAAAACCATCTCTGTTTTATTGACGCAGTGGAGATATCTAATATTAAAAGCTGCAGTAATAATAATATAAATACCCATTTGCCCTACATTCGATGATATTACGAGTATGTTTATTAATTATGCATGGTGTGTGACAACATCCATTTGCTGTTTTCTCAGCCAATCAAACAGATGCATTGATTTGTTTTAAGTATTCACCCTACCACTACAATTAAGACATTTTTTTAATGTCAAGGTTGTTGCATTTAGTAATGAAGAGCCAGCGATTACTTTTAATATTTTTTTTTATTAAATAAACGTTTATTCTGTTTTAAAAACGATGCTATTCACGCTTGATTTATTTCAGTAATTTTTATCGTTTGTTTGTGTACAAAAACCTCACCAAATTTAGAACACAAAACGTAATAAAACACGAAATATCCGGTTCTTCACGTTCAGGAAGTTTGCTCAACGGGACTCAGCGTGTTTGTCGTTGGGAATACCCCAAAATTTTTTACAAAGTTGAAACAGCAGTTTTGAGAGCAAATATTGCATAAGAGACATAAACTGCAGACGAAATTATTTTTACGGATGATATGATCAAAACAACTTTCGTAGTTGATGAGGTTATTATTTATAACCATAGAAAAATGACCGTTATAAAAGTTATCAGATTTTCTTAAGGGCTAGGAAATTGCCTACGGAAATATAATGTCGTATCTAATGAGAGGAGAAATTTCAAATTTAATTACAACTTGTCAGAAATATCAAATAATATACACTTTTTTTTCGTAAAAGTATCTGTATAAATTCTGACTCCACGTCAGAAAAACATGTTCAAACTTTGGATTGATGTTAATAGAGTCATAAAATACTAATGCTCAAGAACATAATACCGAGAAAATAAATTTAACAAATTAATTAGTATCTTATATCTCGTATAACAAACACAACAAACAAAATAAAAAATCCATAAAATATTGGCAATAAATTTTACGAAATTGCTATTCAAATTAAAAAATTGTTTATTAATAAACCTGTCTATAGGTAATATTTATTATAAATAATACAATAAAGATAATTTATTTCTGATATTTAGTGTTTTACCACTTGATGATGAAGTTGCAAGTGTTAATAACACCTTGTTTTGTTCAGTATGACTCCAATTAACTGGAAGATGGAAGGTTTATTGTTTGTTTGTGTGTTCTACTTGCTATGCATACAAGTCAACCTGTCTAAAACCTAAGGAATTTCAAGATATTTGTACTTAAGAACAATAAAAAGCTATATTGTTTGATATCAATAAGCAAATAAACTATAACATACTTGTAAAGATGAGTTTATTAATCTCAAGTTAAAGTAAATTTGCTTTATTCTTAGAAAATTAATATTTGATAAGATATATCGATGGAAGCGATTGTGTAATAAAAGGATTTTGATATTCAGTCCAATAAAGTGTATCAAAGCTGAGTCATTTCTCAACACTGACGTAAACAATATTAAATTGCAATAATATGTGTACGAACCTAAATAAAAATAAGAAGTGTAGAGAAAGAGAAATCTTTTATTATTTATTTACTTCATGCTTGTATTTTGTTTGCTCTTTTAGAGGACGTTAATTTTTAGGCTACGTAGATAGATTATAGCAAAATTTATTATTTACATTTATCTGATTAGTAGATTAGATGAATTATTAAGTATTTTTATAGTTGCCTCGATTTTTACTAATCTTTTTTCACAAAGTGAGTAAATCAAAGGGTACGGCGGCGCGGCGGTTTTGAAAAGATTGCAATACACAAAACTTATTAATTTCATTAAGCTGTGCATAATTTCATCAGATTAGACAAGTAGGCTGAGATGGGTGGGTATAAGTTAGAAGACGTTTAAGACGGCGGCAGTAATTGCAGGGCACTCGTTCTCCTTAAAACCGCCGCTCGTCTTGAACATAACGAAAAATATTAAATAGCTCGGTTAAGAGATAACCGGAAAAGGAATATACCGAAGAATTTTAATTAAGTACAAGACGGCCAATCTCTGCTTAAATTAATGCCTTCATCATAATAATTCCTGATCTCATTTCATAGATGAACCCCATTATTAATTGGCCAGAACTTGGTGTACGTGCCGTGAATTTTCAAAAATAATCAAAAATAAAAAAGACGATAAAGACTTTAGATATTGCCGCAACAGACTGTTTATTAAGAGAAAGATGACATCGGCCATAAAAAATAACTTAAATGGCACGAGGTTTTATCAACTTATCACTGAAACAATTTCTTAATTAAATAGAAATTTTATCTTATCTTAATTTTCAACTCCGGTTATCGTTAAAAACTGTAAAGTCTGCTAGAGGCACAAGTGTTTAAATTTTAGTATGATTTGTAGTACGGCGCCATCTGTTTTGCAGTAGTCAAACATCGAGTATCTAGCGCAGACTCTCACCTCATCAATAAGGAGATGCAGTCACTAGAAATCTACGATGTGTAAAACTTTTAAAACCTACAAACTACATTTCATAAAATCCACATAAAACACTATTTTAATTGGTGCGTAAATCGTCCTATTTGCATTACATAAGTATTAAAAATGTTTTTCTGTTTTATTGAAATCAACATTTAAACTAAGTACAATCTTAAAAGATTTGCTATTGGCTACTAGATGGCACCAAAATTATACATTAAATTTTCTATAAAATAGTTTTTAATTTAGTTAGAACATTTATGAAAATTTCATTATAAAATAAACAATAATTAAAAAATAGATGTTATTATAAAAAATACACTTACAGCTCATACAAGACTTTGTACACACTGATTATTATTTTATAATAAAAAAATATTTTTAAATGTTAGTAAAGTCTGAAGTTTAGAAATACATCATAAATAGTCAAATGATAATATACGTTATTGTTGTAAAAACAAAAACATTTTCAGTATAGGTATTATTTCTTGTGGTACCTACGTAGGTATAACAGAATTTCACTCATTCAATCACAAGAATAGTGCAGACATTAGTTTGATTTTGTTTTTACTGTAATAAAAATGTTTAAACAATCAAGAACAAGATAGTTTTACCTGCCCTATATACAGTATGTCCCCGGATTGAGTTTACAAAAGGATTTTTTTTTATCTTTCATTGTACGCCAAAACTGCAAAAACAAACATTTTTTGCTTCTCCTGAAACGACCAAATCTGTAATTAAAACTTCATTATTCTGATTCAGTGAAAAGAAATGTTATTTTTCTCTGCTTTTTAAGTCCTATCACATTGGCGATTTTATTTATTTGGTAACTATATGTCACTTTGACAATTAATTTATTAATGATTGAATAATGATAGTTCTTCTTAAAAATGACTTTGTTTCTTATCTTAAAGCTGTTTCTTTGAGTTGCCATTTATTAAAATTATGTTTTTCAGAACCATTTTTGTCATTTAACATGCTTAAACATATTTGTCAAAGTGACATCATAGTCAAAAAAATTAAACCGCCAATGTGATGGAAGTTAAAAAGCAGAGAAAAATTTGGTACAAGTCTAAAATTAAGAGAAAAATGAACTTTTTTTTCTACTGAGTTAGAATAATGAAGTTTTAATTACAGATTTGCTCAAAAAATGTTTTTTTTATTGAAGTTTTGGCGAAAAATCAAAAATAAAAAAAATTCCTCTTGTAAACAGGAACACACTGTGTAGATTTTATCTACTACTATGTCTTTTGTTGATCACCTATTATAAAAAAGTGCGTTTTTTTAATTATGAAAAAATTTCCTGGCGCAAAAAGGAGCCAAATGATTTTTGTCTCATAACTTTTTATCAAATGAAAGTAGGTTTCAGAACTCACGCCTCAGAGAAAAATTCCAAGTAAGATAAGATACCAAGAATATGGAAAAATGTTTCAAAAATTCTATCTATCAAACAATTTTGGCATTTGATATTTTTTATGTCTATTTAAAGTTATCTACTGATGATCTAGTATATGTTTTTTTTATAATTATTATGTAAAAGTACAAAAATTTTGCCAATAAAAGTCACAAATAACGTTAAACATAATTACAATTTAGGATACAGCTTTCTTGTTTCCTCTTCTAATAGCCTGCAGTAAAAAAACATGAAAATATTTTTTTTAACAGAAATAAACAGGGTCAAAGTGCAAAATTTAAACCTTTGTAATTAAAAAAAAAATTATAGATAGAATTTTTTTAATATTTTTTCATGTTTCTTGTATCTTACCTTCCATGTCATTTTTTTCTGGAGCGCGAGTTCAGAAATAACCTGTATAGGCTTCTTTGCATATAAATTAAAACTGAACAACTTGTTGCAATGACAAAGCTAATTTGTGCATTTTTCATAAACATATTTTAGCAATCAATTTAGTATCATTAAATAAAAATCTCATTAACGAATAGTTAATATCGTACGATTTTCAATTGTTTTAACTTCGATGAGGTAAGCACTTATTGATAGATAATTCGAGTGGTGTCTTCGCAACCTTGCTGATACAAATCAAATTAAGGACAATAGCAAAATAAGATTACAGATGACACCATAATTAAATAACAACAAATATTTTTGACGAAAAATTAATATAAATTATGTTGTAAATAAACAGTTATATCTATTATTGTGTGAATTATTTTTAAACATTTCAAGTTGATGTTTGCTTTGAGTAATAAATATAATATTATTAGAATGCTTACCTGTGAATTTGCACGTAGAATGTGAGCAGCATAATCCTCTTATTCCAATCACTGGTCAAATTACCAAAACTGGATTAAAACAGCCACTGCAATTTCGAACACAAATAATTTTATTTCCACGGTCACTGCAGATACTTCTTAAAACACACTCGTAATACATACTGAGAGCTCCTGTCGTAACAAAACTCCGCGAACTGTGGATTACTTTTTTGGCGAAAAGCTTTAAACGGGGATGCTGTTTATCCAAACAATTGTCGAGCCTTCGTTCATAAGTTTTCTTGTCAATAATATTTGAGTACAAGAATGATGATGTTTAGTTTGGTTAATTCTCGATCTTAACAGTTATATAATGAAACAATTAACACCGCGTCCAATGTTTTAACACGAAACTGAATACTGAGTCTACGAAATTGTAACTGTCTTCACTCCCATTCAATAGATATTGGTTTGATATATTGATTGAATTAGATCATCTCTATATCTGTCATTTTTTTATCTGCAGGTCAAATTGCAGTTCCATTTTTAAACATTATGTCACACTCATGAGCTATTGCTGAAAATTTGCACCTTTTTCGTAAGAGGAAATCAAGTGGCTGTTGTCAAATAAAAAATAAAAATAACGAAATACAGAACTGACTCAAACAGTTTCAGTGTACCTACGATAAATTTTATCATCAAAAACTTGGCTATTTTGTTATAAATATTAATAATATCTTTTGTGAATACTACCTAATGATAAGTTCAAATATATTGTTTTTTGCAAAATTTAATCTTTCTTAAAACATTCTTATAAATAATTATTACATGACAACAGTTGGCTAATAAGAAGTAAATACACAGATCTTAAATTATCTTTTGTTTACACAATACATAGTTTAAGACATGTTTTGACGGTATTAAAACAAAAGTAAAACTAATTTTTTTTTTAATTTATAAAATAAAAAAACAACTGGTAACTATAAACTATAGAATTAAATAGTGTAATAAACTAGAAAACGATTAATAATGACTTATGTATTATACAGAGGATTCCACTTAAAACTTTTGGATCTAATATCTCCGGATTCTAACGAAATTTAGTATGTAGAATAATTAGTAGGTACAAATTAACAACTCTAGCCTTTAAAATTTATGAAACATGCTTTTTATAAGTGCTAAATTACTTAAAATTTATATCAAATTGTTAATCGCCAACAAAAAATGCTATAAGCAAAAATCTGTCTTTGAAAAAAGTTATGCTTTTAAGAAAAAAAGAATAAAATTGTGTTAAAAGTTAAAACGTAATTTAGGAACTGCATTTATTAGATTAACAACAAGAGATGCTCGAAAGTACCACTATTAGCATCGGGTTTTTAAGGTTGTACTTTGATCAAAAAAATTCAAAAATTAGGTCAAAATTTAAATAAAGACGTAACAGAGAAATTAGACCCAAAAGTCTTACGTGAGACACTGTATATTTGAATAAATATATTTTGCGTATTTTATTGTTTGATTTAATTTTTGTTTTATTTATTTTTATTTTGAATCTAATATTTTTGTTATTAATAATTTCGCTGTTCGATTACTAAAACGTATTAACTAAAATCAAATTAAAAATCAATTATTAAGTCTTAATTGACTAATTTAATTAGAAATTATCAAATTTGTTAGGTGCACATCCAGTGAGTTTTTTTTTAATTTGTAAACATACTATGTCAATAGCTTTAGATTCAATTTTAAAAACAGTCATTACAGGGTGTTTTTAGATTGTTTAAATTAAAAAAAATAACTGTATGAACATTGTAGATATGCTATGTATGCATAATACATACATAATATTTTGAAGGCATTCAACAGATATTGTTTGTTTATGTTTCATGTGTTAAATGATACATTTTTTTATGAATTTTATGATAAAAATTTTCTCTTGATGTAGTAAATAATTAATGTTACAACTAATATCGCATATAGGCGTTGAAGTATCCTCTGAATTGTTTAAAATGATGTATAGCGTGATAGATCACGTGCATTATTAGATGCATAGTTGATATAAAGTAAAAACGAGTTCATTAGATATTTGCCAATATGTCACACAAGTTAACAGAAAATGCCACTTTGTAAGCCTTAAAATAAAAGTTCTAAAATTGGATTTTTAGCATTTCACCAGATTTGACAAGAAAAAACTACGTGAAAAGCAATCGAACTGACCATATCATGTATTCAGATAGTAATAATTGAACATGAAATTCTTTCGACTGGCAATGACGTTCGGTGAAATGAAATGACAATGTGATTTACAATTCCAATAGTATTATCGCGCCCCTACAATACAGGGGTTCTCCAATTACTGATAAACCAATTACAGTGCAAAAAGTAATTTATATTTCATAATGCTACGAAAGGTTCATTTTTATGCAAAACACAATGGAAATCGTACTTTCTAGTTGGTTTCATTAGCTCTGGCATATTTTTCACAAAAATAACAACGAAATTATTTTTACTTTGTTTTTTCACCCTCATAATCGATTTTTATTTAATCGGCTCTAGATTAATTTTTTTCCTGTGGGCAAAATGGCGTTTTATAACCGATAAAGATAATAATAAATGATTGATATGTCATCTCCTGACTCGGTTAAGCAGTCAACTGGGACAAATTTCATTACAGAGTTTCACTCCAGGCACCTGTCTTACTTTTAATAGATAAAATTTATTTTCAAATTATTTTAATTTCTTTAAAAAAATATGGATATGGCCTATAACCGGTATCAAAAAATGTCCCAAGATACGTAAAATCATGCACTGATAAAATATTTCGATTTGGGGTTGCTGTTCATGTAGCCCCAAGGGTATCAGTGGGGTGTGAGTGCTCATGGGAGGCAAATTTGCCCTATATTTGACCAATTTTTTTTCGTTTAATGGCATTGCTGGATTATTCTATTTGTTCGGGATATTAATCTCTGGAAAAACTGCACTTTGCACACATATTTTTTATTTATTCAAAACGGGGAACGGCTAAATTAGTACAAACCGAACCAGATTTGCCTGCATTTATAATATAACTACGGTATTACATTTGGGGTTACTCATTATTTCAATAATTCAAAAAATCCTACCTTTATTTAGGAGTGAAATTGTGATTTGTTTCTTTATTCTTGCTAATCACATAATCTGCAATAAAATCTCTCAGTGATCAAAAAGATCAGATTTCTGCCACGACTGTTCACATCGGAATCGGATTAGCACCGTTCGCCTGTTATCAAAGCACTTAATCTAAATACTGTGGAGCTTTCAAAGTGGTCTTTTCCCTTTTTATTGCGGGTATTGCATAATAATTACTTCAAGTCACACCTCAAACGTTATCAGCCGTTTATCGTTTCTTCAAATTCATCAACAAATAAACAAGTATACATATTTCGGTACTTTACATTGCGTTATCGTTGATCAAATTATTATTGGGCATGGGGAAAGATTTTGCATCTCGAAATCCAATTAAAACCAATTATTAAATATTTCCGTGTGGATAGTTGGATTTTCGCTCTGGTGGGAGAGTCGATAATAATGCCTTTTTAAAATTCATGGATAGTTGCGTCCTGTGTTAGGGTTAGATTAAAGAGTACAATCGGTTTCAAGTACGTGTGATGATCCTGGTACGTAATCTAATAGCAATATTAGATTGACATAGGATGACAATACGCTCTCGTGTATACTCGTGTCGTTGTCAATTAGACACGTGCCATTCTGGATTATTGGAGGGAACTATCTGTCGACGACCGGTTTGCACCCAGATCTTCCCATTGTAATGCCTTAATCTGGGTTTAAAACGGACAAATTCGATTTACCGAGTTTGTTATTAACAACGCTTTTACGAGTTTGGACACGTGACTTTAATTTTTTTTCTACAACTTATTTCAAAATTGGGGCTACATATTTTGCTTATCATTGCTTTAAACTTGTTGAGTAATTTTTTACTTAAGTAAACATGATTTGTGTATGTGCTAACTACTGTTTGCAGAACTTGTAAAGCATTTAATTATTTTAAATTAACAAAACAAATTTGGTTGGAATTAAATTTCAAAATATTTAGTGGTTGTAAAAAATGATATAATTGTTAATATCAATATTAAATGATTATTCATGTAGGTATGTCGTTTATATAAAAAGTGTGCTAGTACTATAAAACAAATAAGCAGATTTATATAATAAAAGATTGACTTATATATATTTTAATTTTTATTTACGGAACAGTTTGCATGTATCTACAATATTGTTGGTAATTAACTAATCAGCAAAATGAAAATTACGTTTGTCTAAATATTGTTCTAACCAGGCCTTGTGTGCTATTTTAATGTGGGGTATTATAAAAGATATCTTACCTAAATAAAAAAATGAAAAAATTTTCGGCTATGGCTTATTGGCTAAATAGCTTTTGTCTAAATTTAAATTTATTTGACTAGCATGATTATCAATCAATTCATATGTATATGTATACCACACGTAACAGAAATAATAATAATAACTTTGTTTGACGCCAATGTTCTCTACATTAAACAATAATAAAATACAAAACAAGTAACACATAAACATAATTAAAGAAAACTAAAACGACTAACTCAAGGAAACATTCAGAAAACGCTTGAAGCTATCTAAGGATTTAAAATTAAAAAAAATCAACTTGACACTGTATATATTACAAATTCTCAGAAGATCATTTATGGGAGAATTAAATAGATAATTATTATGTGCGAACTAAATTTTGAATAACTGGTTTGATCTGCTGTTATATTGAGGTACGTGAAAATCAATTACTTACCTAAATTTAGTTTTAAGTATCGTTGATCAAGTTATAAACAAAAGTTTATAAACAAAACAAAACAAAACATAAAGCCTGATTTCTTCTTCTAGTTTCAAGCGTAGAAAGAGACATATAATTTAATGAAATATCATAATCATCTTGCACGCAATAAGGAAGCAACCATTTTATATATTAAAAAAACATTATCTGTATTGCTTCAAGCCTACCAAGATGAATTTTATGGTGTGGATAAAAAAAATTAATAAATAAATAAATACATGAATTTTAACCACTGATTTTTAGAATCTTTCAGTCTTTTTAAATATGTCGAAATTGACACTCGTCTTCTACAATTTTTAAAGAGAAGCTAAGGAATTGTACGTTTTATCTACGACACATTTTAAAATATGAATAGAAATTGAATAACATATTTTAGAGAAATTAAAAAAAAATTCTAATATATTGCTGACTATCCCTTTAATAATACGAGTAGCTATCATATGTGAGTAGAACACATAGAGGGTTATTCATAAATATGAAGCAATATTTGAACCTCAAAATTGAGCTATAAAATGATGTTAATTTAAAATAATAAAATAATAATAACTCGTGTCTTATCTCTACTGATAAGAATTTTACAGCCCTCGGACTGTGGGTATGGAAATTTGTTTTTTTTTGTAATAACCCAATATTATAAAATTTGGAATGGTTACTTGCGAGAACATACCTTCTAAACTAGAAATTACGAAAACCGGATACATCTATTCAATTTCCGGTTCCAGCATTTGCAGGTCATATTTTCTGTTTTTTCATTTTTTTGGCCTCTTAACATTAATGTTTTTTGGTCAAAGCAATAGAGCAATCAATTTTGAATAAAAAACGTATAACCTTTAATACCTCTAAAATGGACCGTTTTAAAGATATTTTAATTTAAAGTGAGAACTACACAACTCTGAAAGCAAAAAGTATAAATTTTGAATGAGTGACATCCACGGCAACAATATTTTGCACATATTTTGCTGTCAGGCATCTGTCAACTTGATAGTGGACGATTATTAGACGATTAATCAAAAATATTTAATAAAAGAGTTTAGTTCAGACTCCAAACATAACTTAGAATAAATCCAAATGGATCTCGTAGCATATAATTCATAAAAAATTCACAAAAATTTATCGTCAAAGTTAACAGATGCCTGGCAGGAATTTAGGTAACGTTGGTTATTGGTTGCCGTGGATACCACTTATTCAAAATTCATATTTTTTATTTTCAGCGTTGTGCAGTCCTCACTTTAACTTAAAATATCTTTAAACCGGTCCATTTTGTTGATATAAAAGGTTTTGCGTTTTTTAATCAAAATTGATTACTCTTTAAATTTAAGCAATAAAAAATTAGTGTTAAGAAGCCCAAAAACGAAAAAAACAGAAAATGTGACCACCTGAAACCGAAAATTGAGTCGATGTGTCAAGTTTTCGTAATTACTAGCCTAAAGGGTACGTTCTCGCAAGTAACTATTCCAAATTTTATAATATTTGGTCAAATGGTTCCAAAGTTGTTACAAAAAAAATAAATTTCCATACCCACAGTTTGAGGGCTGTAAAATTCTTATCAGGACATGAGTTATTATTTAAATTAACATGATTTTATAGGTCATTTTTGAGGTTCAAATATTGCTTCATATTTATGAATAACCCTGTATAGTATATCTACGACTAAGAAATATTTTGGATTTTTGGTATTGACAAATTTAATTAATAAACTTTTAAATTATTAAAAAAATTAAAATATTGACTATGTAACTAACATTTGTGCAACGCACACATTTATTACTCTTTAACAGACTATTTTGGATTACTTTACGGACTTCAGTATTGTTTTGGTCTTAAAATTTTTTTAGAAGCATAAGTGAGTCATAAATATAAATATTACATTGCTATTCAACCTCAACACATTTTCTGGCTAAAATCGTAATTTGAAGTTACAAAACGCGCGACAGATGATCTCTCCGATTTGTTAACAACAATTAACGCCTTTGGATATGTAAAATTTCTCGTGACACGTAAACAAACGTATTGTTTTACGTGTAATAATTTGTTGCTGATTCACTTGCTAAATTGATTTATCACCATGCACCTTCACAAAGATGTAAAGAAGTGTCTAACAATCGATGTGGTCGCATCCGTGTGACATCAAATTAGGTATTCGTACATAACGTGACGTCACCGATATGACCTTTTATGTTCGACAACCATCTGTCAAGCGAAGGGATGCAACCCCTGCTAGCCCCCGGCTAATGCCATTGCCTCCGCTTGTTATGTGCTACTGGTGTCGGTTTCAATTTCGCTCAATCGCTTTGTATTTTCACGAATTCGCTAACTGGATTTCAATGAATGCTAATGCAAGCGAACACATTTGCATCTTGGAGGATTTTTCAGGGAAACTCGGCAAATATTGATGGTTGTCTTTCAGTTTCTGATTTGCTTCTATGTTTATCTATCACGATCGCGAGTGCTTTCATTTTGGTTAACAATAGGGTGAGCTTTCGAGTGGCTCTTGAGCAAAGGGTGCGATTTGTATGTTATCGAGCTCCATATGGACCGCTAAAAAGTTTGATTGTGTTGATAAAAAAAACAACAGGGGTAAGAGTATCTTAAAAATTTATTTTACATCTATATTTTTAAGAAATCTTTAAGAAAACATTAAGTTTGTACACAACAAAAGGAAAATATTTGCACTCTATTCGTTGTTGAAATAAATAAGACAAGGAGCAAAATCGTCCTAGGAAAACATTGATTTCCAAAAAACGCTTTTACTGTACAAATAAAATAACAATGAATTGGTATACATATTTACACACAGTAATTATTTCAAGTTAAATGATATTGATATTTTTTCCAATGCTGGGAAAACCAAACATAAAGTAAAAAAGTCTAAGAGTATGACGAATATAAATTTAGTAAAGTTAAATGAAGTGTTAGAATTTTGCACAATCGTATACTCGAATGGTCTCACTTCGGAAAAAGAGGACTGCAAAGACACGTATGTAATGTATATTCGTCACTAAAATTGCTTTTAAATCTATATTATGTACAGCTACACGAAAACTTTGCACTATGATATGATAAATTTACAAAATATATAATCGTTGACTCGTTGTTACGTAACCTATCTGTTACTTTACAACTTTGTACATTTGAAAAATGAAGTTATATGTACATTTTTTTTTACAAAACTACAAATCATTTTCGTTTCTTTATAGAATCCCAGCTCGAAGCGATATGTATATTCAGTAGAGATATGCTAAACTTGCAATTTAGATTAATTTGTCATTACAGTGCAGAAATATCTATATTCTAGGCCATAGATATAAATACTTACATGGTCGTTACTATCACATAAGTATTTACTGGCTTTTACGTGATCACAGTTAAGTAGGTATGTATCTGCTGGTAGGAAACACAGGACTGTTCAACGAAAATATAAATCAACCAGACCTGTACATATAAATATTTTTTTCAGGCTTATATGACTATCAAAAAATCAACAACACTAATTTTACTTCTCTTCGGTAACTTATTTTATGATTTTGTAATAAAATTGTCTAATAGTCACTTGTCTTTGGTACACGTTACACTGAATACATTGCACTGTTGTCTTCTTGAGGTGTGGGAGTTGTGCTGTGTTGACTTATTGGGCTTGATTGGCCCACCGTTGGCTACTTGGTGGTACCTACTAAAGGTGACCCGTAACTTTGGGAGTTACATGTTGGTAAAGCGAATGGGTTCATAGATGCGAAAGGTGAAGAGACTAGACCCATTCCTGCAGCAAAATAAACCAAATTAAGCCACTAAAAAGAATATAATCTTCAGAAAGCAAAGAAAAGGATTATTTGAAAAAGTTTTCTTTACCACAAAATGAAATAAAAATGCTTTTAAAAGTGTTTTATGAAAAGCTGATATTCAGAACTGTTAAGGTCATAACGACCGAGAGAGTTGTTCGAGATCTAATAAAAGAGGACCTTAATCTTTTTGTGGCCGTTATGGCCCTTAACAGCACGTGGTATGTTCAACGTTTCTCACCGTATTAAATTATTATATTAAAAAAATAATTTTCAAATTCTGAACAACAACATGAAACGACGAAAATCTTTTTTTCATAATTCAATAATTATGTTACAAGCAAAGAATATAAAAAAAAAATCTAACAAAATATAAATTATACAGGGTGCGCCAGAACTCGCGCCCCAGAGAAAATTTTCAAGTAAGATATGATACCAGGAGCATGAAAAAAAAATGTTTAAAAAATTCTATCTGGCAAAAAATTTTGACATTTAATTTTTCACATTTGACATTTTTTATGTCTATTTAATGATACTGATGATCTTGTATATGTTTTTTTTACAATTATTTAGTAAAAGGACAAAAATTTTGCCAATAAAAGCCACAAATAACATGAAACAGACTTACAATTTAGGATACAGCTTCCTTGTTTCCTCTTTTAATAAAGCAAAAAAACTTGGAAAATTATTTTTCCAACAGAAATAAATAGAGTCAAAGTGCAAACTTTAAACCCTCATAACTTTGAAATTTTTATAGATAAAATTTTTTTAACATTTTTTCCATGTTCCTGGTATCATACCTTATATTTTTCTCTGGGGCGTGAGTTCTGGCGCACTGTGTATAAACATTAATTTAAATATATACTTGAACATTAAACAGTTGCGACATTTTTATTCATTCATTACTCCACAGATAACTCTCATTGAGTATAATACTAGTACAAGAATAACAGTGATCTTAAAAAATAAAGTGATTTAAACAAACAAAAAATTCTAAACATTTAGGTACACATTGTATGGTTAAGTTGTAAAGCTCGAATAACTATTCGCCCAGGTTGCTAAAAATTGTAAGTATTTGTTGACTTTTAGGATCTTTTTATTATTTAGAGTAATATTTCATATTCCGGGTGAATAAAAAATATGAAACCAAGCATTTTTTGCATAAACTAATTAATTTACGAAAACAATAATCAAGTGCTGTTTAAAGTAAGTACCTACTATAAAAATGTGATCGTTTTTCAAAAATAAGATTTTTCGAAATTTTTAAAAAGTACCCACTTTTGCAAAAAAAATGGAATTAAGAGTCCTTAAAGGTACAGTCAGGTGATTTTTGGGAGGCGTTATGTTGTACTCACAATTTTTATTTTATATTAATAACATTACCATTGTTATATTTTATTTAAATTTTTTTTGGACAAAATTTACTTTCACGGTAGAGTTGTAAATGTCAGAGTAGTGAGTGAAGTAGTAGCAACAAACCGAAAAAAGCAAACACAATAAAAGGACAAATTCGAGTTAAACGGGATACAAGAGAGGTTTGTTAGATCTCTACTTAAACGAACAAAATCTACTTAGTTTTAAAAGCATAACGTTTATGAAAACAAATGTAACGCAATTAGTGTAGAATAAGCAAAATGAAACGATAATAAAATAATATACTAACACTGCACAGCCAAGTGGTGCCAGCCAGTGACGGGCTGGTGGTGGAAAAGCGCGGGTGCCGGGGGGTGAGTTGGGGGAGTCACACTCCCCCGTATCACAGGGGCAAACGCGCTTTTCTCTTTATCCGACGCTGCCGCCGCTTTACTGTTGTGTGCGCCAAAATGATAATGACCCGCCTCGGTTGCAACTAAAATAACAATATTCGAAATAAAGTAAATGAATGGTGATTCAACAAAAAACTGTTCGAAATTGCTTTCTTTGATTTTTCTTTCAACTCACTTGGGGTGGAATTGAAAATTCCGGCCGAAGGCGAACTGGGCAGCATGTTGGACAGTTGCGCGCTACTTGTGGGGGTCGCGCCCCCGTATCCGTTCATGTTGCCTCCATAAGAGCCTCCGTTGGACGAATGGGGGGTTGACGCGCTCGAACAGTAGCCTCCACCACGCGGCGAGACGCTGCTACTTTGCGCCCTCCCGTACTCCTCTAAAAGAAAAACCCTACCGATAAAAACGTGGCGTCAGTACAAAAATTACTCTTTGCCAACAGATAGATCACATGCACACAAAACACAACAACGGTATTCTAGAAATTGCAAATAAACTACCTTCGTTTTTAGGTGTTCTTAAATTCGAGAATTAAGCGCATCAGTTGTGCCAATTTACAAAAAAAGAAACAATTTAATTTTGCGAATTCATTACTTAATCAAACATTGGATTAAGAAAAGTTTTATCAAATACTTTTATCTAAAAGTAACTACGACTAAATAATTTAGCATTGCTAATAAAATGAACTATGAAAGGTCTACAAACGTGATGTTAATTTTTATCTGTAAATTCTAAATATTTAGAAGCAGCAAAACTAAAAGAAAATAAAAAATCAACTCATATTGATTTTGGCTTTAAATAAGTGAGAAAAAAGTGTTTTTATATTTATTATTTTCTTTAACCTATAATCTAAATTGTATTGAAGTAGAAAAACATTCAATGCGGTAAATAATTATCTTTATATTAAGTGTGCAAAACGACTGTTTTCCATGGTGAGAATATCCCTTTTTTTGTCAAAAGACAAAAAGACATTCGAGCGGTAAAAACAGTTTTGCGCACATAATACATATAAGCAACGTTTTTTCTACAATATTTAATTAATTTTTCTTATTCTTGGACACTGTCAAAATTTACGGTTTTTCTCCGGTGTAAGGAAGTTTAAAGCAATTTTAAGCCTGGTTGAGTCTAATTCGAAGAATAAAATGTTGTATTCAACTCGTGGTCGTATAAATCGGACGCTTTATAACACCTCGTGAATGATAAACACTCGTGGTTTAAAAATACACTCCGTTAAATAAAGCGTCTGATTTACACTCAAACTCGTCGAATAAAAAATTATTATTAAATATATAGGTACATCAAAATTTGTCATATGTCTGTCAGTGCTTGAAATGCAGTGCCTGAAATGCCGTCAGTGTGTGAAATAAGCACTTCATTCACTGCTGTGAATTTCGCGCCCTTTACAAAAAATGGTTAGCTTCGCGTATTGATTTTGATGTGTGAAGTTCAACTTTACTAATTGTAGAAAAGAGTAATTTTTATTTTAAGTGTGCGAAACGACTGTTTTTTTAAAGAGAGATAATGTCGTTTTTTGTAGAGACTGAAGTTGGAGTATTAATTTCGATGTGTGAAGTTCAACTTCACACATGATTGTAGAGAAATGTATTTTTTAGGTACAGTGGCAAATGTAATTTAAAAGATATTATTTGGATTATTTTTGAGTTAGAATCGAAAACTTCTACACTATGAAAAGCAAGGAAGGACAAGCACCTTCTGTCCACTGACCGTTTCCGTTGTCCTGAACGCTGACAGCCAGTTGCCCCGTATACGTATTGAAAGTGGACGTCATTCCGTTATTTGCCATCGTCGGTGACCTTGGCGCTGATAATGACAATTGATTATTTCTTGGCATTGTGTAGAGTGCTTCAGCTAAGTCCGCTGCTCTTTTTAGAATAATTTCCTAAACAAAAACACAATTTATTCACCAGTTCAGAGGATAGTAGTGAAATGTTTGTACCTTTGGTAACTTTTCTGGATCTCCCGGATGCCTCGGTATGAGCTTTTGTAGCCTCTGAAATCCGTAGTCTATCGTTGGTTCGTTTAAGGCTATAAAGCGAATTTACGTATTGGCGAAGCTGAATTTTGAATAAAATGATATACTCACAAACATAGACGAATCTGCCTGGTGCTCCTTTACAGAATTGTTTTGATTTATATGATAATGTGACCTCGACCACTCCTGGAATATGTCTTGGGGGTGTTTGAACTCGAATAGCGTGGGGTGTTATCAACTGTAGGAAAGTGTGTCAGCGTATAAAGAACATTTCAGTTTTACGTCAACTCACTTCGCTCCAAACTAACATCGTTCCAAAAACCACTTGAAGACCATCGAAGAAATTATCTCCGACTATGATAACAGTCGATCCGCCTGACGTCCATCCCTCGCTCGGACTTATGGCCTTTATGCAGGGGGTGGCCACGGGCAGCGGTGGGTAGAGGCCTGGAAATTGACCTTTGCATATGATGTATCTCTCCTATATTTTCGGTGACTAAATTATTTACCCACACAGTTAGTAAAAATAGAACCGGATTTAACCGAAAATGTGTAGTGATTTTCATTTTTTGGCTGATGCTTGTAAATCAGATTTGTCGTGGGTAATGGGCGAAATTCTTTGTTAACTTTTTCGTGGAAAAGATTAAGATAAAAGGGATAAAGTAGAACAAAGTGAGATATTAACAAAGTGAAGCATGGCTTGTTCTGCGACGAGCGGATAATATAGAACCGCGCGCGAGGGTGAGATATCAGCTCGCGTCCCCCAAATCTCGAGAACGAACGTGTAATAAAGATAGAAGGAGAAAGTGAATAAGAAAGAAGATTAAAGGACTCGTAAGAAAGTGCAGGCGCTGTATGTACGGCGTTTCCGCTTCCTTCCTCCAGTGAACTGAATCGGGAGCCAATTTCACAAAGTTTTGGATCCGGGACGGGTCCGCATACAAACGAGATGTTTCCGTGAAGCGCGCTGCAGAACACTGCCGTATATACCGGAGGATCGGGATCTAGACGCCGTCACGGCGCATACCAATGAGCGTCGGCGATGATTTGTGGCTTACATCTCACCTGCGCGTCACCATTCCATCATACCACTTCTACTGAGCGTGACGCCGGATAATCGCCGGCGATAATTATGGAAATGTACATTTCTATACACACGACTTGACATTCGAAATTCTCGTAACTAAATAACGATTTGAAATATCTTTTATTTACCTAAGTGTGTGACAAAAAAAACCAATTAAATTTATTGTTAATTAATTTTATTCTTAGATACAGTTTTCTCGTTTAGTAATAGCAACAATTAAGTTTTTGTTAAATTGAATAATAATTAAATTTATGTGTCAGAATGAAAAAAAAGAGTCCTGGAGTCCACTTTTTAAACCCATAAATCATATACCATACAACCCATAAAGGTGCTATAAACTGTAAAACAATATGCGTTTGTCAAAATAGAGATTTTTTTATAAAAATTTACACTCAAAAAATGTACCTATAAATAAAAAAGTTCGGGCAGGTACGATAAGATAGAAAATTAAGAGTGCTGAAAATCGAAAAATTAAAAACACTCATAGGAGTGCAAAAGTGTGAGAAACTGTCGGCGGCGTGGTGGTGTAGCGGCATAAGGTCCCGCTTTCCGGCAGGTAGTTTCGGGGTTCGAACCTCGGTAAAGTCAGAAAATTTTCTCTTATTCAAATTCAAACAGAATTTAAATAAATGTCAGAAGATGGTGGATGCATAAGAGCGCAAAATCTAAAGATGTGCACATGTTCTAATAAGTATAAGGGTAGTAATAAAGCGATCAGTAAGTAATTCAATTTTGATCAATATATAAATGATCAATCAGTATTTAATTAATTTTTGCACAGTAAAAAATAAAAAAAATGATCAGAATAATGTAATATTTTGCACAGTAAAAATAATAAATGTCAAGTATAAAGCACACTCAGTATTTTATTGTAATTTGTTCAGTAAAGAATTTTAAATTGCTCAGTAAAAATAATAAACGTTCTGTAACTTTTATCAAAATTAGTAGAATAACATAAAATTTAAGGAATTTTGCGTCTACGTTAGATAACAATGTATATATGTCCCCTGCGCAAGAATGATATTTATTATTGAAACTTATTTTTGTATTGGAGGGTGGTATATGTATTAGCAAGGGCCCCTGCGCAAGAATGATTTTAGCAAGGGATAGACACTGTGCGCAAATGGTAATCAGTTTGAATGCTTTGTTTTAATGGACATTCATTCATTGTCTTTACTGTGCATTTATTATTATTTTTACTGTGCATTTATTAGTTTACTGTTCACTTATTATTTTTACTATACATTTATTATTTTTACTGATCAAAAATACTTGACGTTTAAATAATATACTGTGCACTTAATTTGTTCCCTAAGTATAATAAGAGGAAGAGCATAACAGCAAATAAGAGAGAGAGCTTATTAATGCATAAGAGCAAATAAGGAAACAAAGCATAAAAAAGAAAAATAGTAAAAAATGTGCATAAAAAAGCAAAAGAGCTTTTTTACGTTACTCCAATTTTTTTTGATTTTTCTAAAAAAAATTCAAATAAGTAGTTGAAAAAACTTTAAGTTTAAAGAGATTTAAAATTATGTTGTGATTGTACCTAGAAGCATAATAAGCTCGATTTAGAGTCATTTCTGCTTCATACTCTTTATGCTATGCTCTTTGCAATGAGCTGTTGAGCGGCACACGAAGTTCTATTCATTCTGTAGCGAAATCGTGACATACAGCAGCAGGGCCGTACCCAAGGGGGGGGGGGGGTTTAGGGGGTTCAAGGTCCTCCCGAAATGCTGAGCACTTTGTTATATAGTGTTATAAGTGTTAAAAATTTAGTTTTTTTGTTATTTTAATGAGTTAATTTTAAATTTTTGTGAATTAATTTTTCATGTGTTAATTATACAGTGTTTCATTTTTATTGTTAGGTACAAATTTAAATAGTTAATAGAATATTTAATTTTAAGATAAAAGTGTTAAGATAAATGCTATGAAAAGGTACGTTTTTTAAAGGGTTTTTCCTAATATTTTAGAATATATAAAATTACAAAGTTTGGTACCTTTACCCAAACAAATGCCAAATAACAAAATTTTTAATTAGGGGCGTCCTAAACGGTAAAACAAATTTAATTTTTACTTTTTATGCTGTTTATGGTCTGTAACATAAATTTTTAAACCGATTTTTACTAAAAATCCGTAAATTGTATCGGAAAAACACAAAAGACCTTTTTTTATGAAAAACTATGAAATTTTGTTGCTGAAAGTGGCAAGAAACCACAGGCAAAAGAGTAAATTTTTACCCTAATCCCATCTAGTTTAGGAAGCACCTAATTAAAAATTTCAACATTTTATTTTTGTACTTGTTTAGGTGTATAAAAGTTATCATCTGTAGCAAATTTTGAAATTTTTTTCTAAAATGATTTCGGAAATATTGAAAAAAAACCTCCTTGCGTAGCATTTTTCGATATATGTTCATAGAAAATTTTTGTTTTAAAAATGAATATTTATCTCCTGTTTAAATTTGTAACAATAAAAAGTATTAAAAATTTATTTTATTTTTTGTTACTTTTGTGAGTTAATTTGTATTTTTTTATGTTTAATTAGGATCTCTTATTTCAATTTAAAATAAAAACGTGTACTTAGAGATTTTTGCTTTTTAATCCGTCTTCTTTCATTTCATTTTCATGGATCAACAAGAAACCCCCCCTGAAATAAAATCCTGGTTACGGCCCTGTACAGCAGTTATGCTGCTTTAATAAGAAATGATCTCAACTACTATATGAGTGGTGGTGCTTTCGGTACCACCCCTGGGCAATCTTTAAGTCCTAAGAGTCGATTTAATCGACTATATGTACTTATGTTAATTATGTTTTTTTTTTCATATGGATGCTTTTGTTTTTGAACAATTATTGGTTATTTAAATTTAATTTTTTGCAATTTTATGATACAACTTTTTATTTGCAGTAATTTATTAGGAACTCTCTTAACTGAATAAGAAATGCATGGTGAACCTGTTTGATTGTATAGATAATAAAATTCATTTTAGTTACCTACATTTAGAACAATTATTGGTTATTTAAATTTTAGTTTTTTGCAATTTTAAGATAGAACTTTTTATTTCCAATACTCTATTAGGAACTCTCTTAACTGAATAAAAAATGCATTATGTATTTGATTGTGTAGATAATAAAATTCATTTTAGTTACCTACTTTTAATTTTGAAATAGTAAAAAACTTAAATATTGGTAATTACTGGTTTTTAAAAATTAAGGCTAATAATCGTAATATTTGAAAAAGATTTGATTACCGTATTATTGGTACAAATTTTATTTTATTAGTTATTTAGTGTTTAATTTGGATGATTTTTTGCACCAGCTCGTACATCAGCACCGTTACACGGTTACGTTGCGGCGTAGCTACACCTCTAGTAACGCAAAAGCTCCCGAGCTTTACCTCGCTAACGTCATTAATAAAGCCGCGTTCGCCGCCGCATCTCGAGCGTAGTAGAAACAGGATAGAATCCGACTCACCTTCGGTAGGATCGAGCCTTTTCGCCCTTCTGCCGTGCTTGGAGTTGTTGTGTACGAACATGTTGTCGGAGATGGCGAGCAGAGGTCCATCGACGGACACCTGCGTCGCTATGACGACCTGTAATCGAGAACATCATTAATACAAGATGAGACGCCGCCGATGCAGGTGCAGCCATTTTGCGGCCAAGGTGGCGGCACAGTGCATCGCAAGACAGACTCCTCCCTCGGGAACGCTCGCGCTCTCCCAAGGGACCCCGCACCCCTGCGATACACACGCGTTCCCATGGGAACCACAGGATGATGACGGCGGAGCGGCCAGTAGGCGGCGTTCGATACGCTGCTTGAAATACGGCCATCGACCATCGCCACGTACCTGGACCGGACACTAAGTCGAAAGACTAAACATTTCTGGACCAAGAAAATGAGCAATTGATTTCACTGCAAAATGAGGTCAGCGGACCTGTTGCAATTTCGCAACAAAATCTATGCAAGTATACATAAAAACAATAAAAAATTAAAAACAAAATTAATGATTTTTTAGAAAAATATTCTGCTTAGGTTATTTTTAAGTTCTACAGGGAGAAACGAAAAGATGGGGGCAAAGAGTAACCTGGGGTTTCCCAGGTCAAAATAAACTGATTTAACCCAACTTGTAACTTGCAAGTTCCACCGTTTAAGAGTTACAGAGTCAATGAAATTTTTTTGATTTTTTGTTTAAATTAACAATTAATTACATTATTGTTAACTAATACGAACATACATAAAGACACTAAAACCTAAAAAATATTTAATACAATTTTAAAAACAATAATAACAAATGGGCAACTTTCAAATTTTAATATATTTATTTAAATTATTTTTTACTCCAAAACCACGGCGGATACAACAATTATAAAAGATACAAAAATTGTTTATAAATAATGTACCTTACGAAAAAAAAAAACAATTACGCCTCTCGGATTACAAAAACATGGCTTAAAATGGTTAAGTCAATAGAATAATAAAATAGCACTAAAACATGTGGTTTTGATATCAAATCGCTTGCAGCGAATTGCATAAAATGAATTATGAATTAATCCATTAAAAAATATTAAAGAAAAAACAAAATAATTTTTAAATTTTGGCGCCCTCTAACTTTTAAAAGGTGCAACTTGGTATAGATGTAAGTTTGGTTAAATCGCTTTATTTTGATCTGGAGGATCTCAGGTTACTCCTTGTTCCTATCTTTTAGTTACAACCTGTATATTAAATTAGAAGAAAAAAAAATAAAAAAAACATAATGTGTGAGTAAAGTGTATTTGCAATTTAAGTTACACGTTTTAGTTTGCTCTTAATGACAGAAAATGTCGTTGAACTGAATAAATTCTTAAATTTTTGTCTATAAAATTTATTTACTATTGTTAAGCCTCATTAGATTATTTTATGTTTATATAAAAAAATACTGTTATTTTATAGTATTTTCTGAATTTATTTTAAAAGTTTGGCTCAAATAAAACTTGGATCACTGAAACACAAAAAATATATTTTTTTTTATAGCAGATGTTAAACTATTTTTTTATCAGCTTTTTTGAGTAGATAAAGTAACATTTTAACCGTAAGGCTAGATAAAGTAACACTTTATCAGCAAGGATAGATAAAATGTTTTAACTTATTTTATTCATTCAAATTTACAAATTTTATCATCCATGAGGTGGAATAAAGCGTCTGATTTACACTCAAACGAGTTGAATACAACATTTTATTCTTCGAATTAGACTTGCTTTAAGTCTGTTAAAAATAATCTGACCTTTCGTATTGAGAAATGGCAAAAATTGTATTTTTTTGAAATTTTATTTTTTCTCTTAAACTGTAAGTCCTGCTATAAAAAATTTTTTATACACGACGTTAAAGATTGTTTATCTACTTGTGAAATAAGTCCACTCGTGAACTTAACCTTTTTACTCGTAGATAAACAATCTCTTTATCGTCTTGTAAGTATAATAATAGTTAACAAAACGATAAAATTGAATTTTATCTTTGAGAGCAATTTAGTTTTAATACTAAATTATTTCGAGCAATTAATATGCTCGAAAAGATAATAAAAATTTTATCGTCGTGTACAATATAAAATTTTATTCAATCCTCATTAATTTTGTCAAAGTAAAATTCAATAATGTCAAAAATCGTTAGTAACTAACAACCGCAGATATACAACAATGGATGTATTTTTTATCATCTAGAGTCTAGATTCTAGACGATAAAATTTCATTTTAACATGAAGAAAAAAGTAGTTAAAATTTAATTTTAAGATAGAGGATTGAATAAATAACTGTTTTTTAATTTTTGTTAGTATGTACTCGTACTTATACAAAAGAGGAGAGCTATTTAACCCAGTAAAAAAATATCTAACATTTTTTGGAAGTATTTCTGAGTGTAGTGGAACGCTTTGAATAATTCAATACTCTAGTTTGAAAGTTCCCAATGCGGGTAGAGCTTTCAGCTGTGGACTTTTGGAGGCGCCTCGTATGTGTTGTGAGGTAGGTTGAGCCGGACCTCGTCAGCAATTCAGTCCGGTTTTCCGTCTTATATTCGTAAGAAGCGCGTCTATCGGCGAATAATGGCTTCATAAATTCAATATTTAACGCGTCTGAAACTTCAATATGAATGGGCACTTGGCGAGGTAGTTTTCAGCTACCGGCGAAATTGGATATAAAGAGGCGCGGGGACGCATGCAGGAAGAGAAACCGAGTCGCCGATGAGATCAGGGGAAATAAATGAGGCTCGCAAGCCACGGTATTCCTTCTAGTTGTTCAACTCCTCCGCTCCCGACACAAGAGAAAATAAAAATCTTTTCTATTTCAGGCGCCCCACGGTAAATCCCGCGCACAGCTCGCTGTAACGTGTATGGAAATTGAAATAAATGGCAGTGTGCCGCTCTCTATAGCCGTGTAATTTCGTCCTGGGCCTTCGACTCCTTCCTCTGTCCTGAGCCAGAATATCGTAAAGTCGTGTTGCACGCGGTCGCTACATACAAACGATCAATTTACACAATACTAGCTCGTTATGTGCTAAATTACGGAGATCGTGCGGATATCTTGCTCGACGATTACTACAAGAAGCCGTCAAGTGAATTGTCGGGCCTCCCACGGGTGCTAGTCCTTTAATCATTACGATTAAAATGCGTGGAAAAACAAGCGCGTCTACAACGAAAACGTAATCAAATTAATGGCAGCTATTAGCTCACGCCGTGCTCCTGCTTTGCTCCTGCAGGTACACCCCGTCATGAACTGCTCCGTGTAAAGGGCGCGCGGCACTCGATATCTCTCTATCGACTGATTAATGATCTCACTCTTCTTAATCAGCGACAGATTACAAGAAATCTCTCATCAATAACTGCGCCATATTCAATATGTCTAATTTAAAACATGATAAAAATAAAGAAAATATATAATATACATATGACGTCTTGCTTATTTTTTGTCACTGCTTATTTGAATTTTTATTTTCTTTACACGGATAAGCTACTTGCTCATAATTTATACATATCAAGAAAAAAATTGTTGAATAAACTTTTGAGCATTGAATCAATGCAAGTGTTTTATTCAAATGTTAAACTTGCTCTATAAACTAAACTAAATCTTGTAAAAATCTGAACATGTTTGGAATCATAAATACATAAATCGTGAAATCTTTAAACATTTAATAAACTGTAATTTTTTATCACTCATTAGGGAATTACGTTTTGAACAAATCAGGTGCAAAAAGTACGAAGAAAATTTATTACGGATGAAATATTGTGTAAGTAATTTTGTAAATAAAGTTTTAGTTCTAGAATTCTGAACTATTTGAATGAGAGAACTACGTGGCAATATGCACATATTATAGTACAGAAATAGGTAGGGATACATAATGTATAGGTATGGTAAAACTATATAAGGAAAATACCGACTTCGTCATTTTATAAAATATATTTCAATATTGTTGCTTTTGTAAAATCAATGAAATGTTACTCTACTACAGACTACATCAGTGGAGTTCTTACAGTTAGATCAGAAATCAAGTAAGAATAAATGTTTTTCAACAAGTTACACATTGTTTATTTAGAAATTAAAGGAGGTATTATTTCTTAAACAGGAAATACTGTTTTTGCAAAAGCTTTTTATGATAAAAAATTTAAATTAACAAACATTATTTAGGATCATTTTTTTAGCATTAAGCACAAAAATATATTATTAATCTGTCTACACAGAATCCAAAAGAATTTCAATTTATTTATTATAAACTCTAATGTACGAGTACAACGGGCATTAATAATATTGAGTTGTTTTAATAACTCCATGTTGTTTATTATTAATCTTAATCAGGGGCGGACTGGCCAGGGGTGCCGGGGTGCCACAGCACCCCGGGCCCTCGAGTCTTACGGGCCCCCAATTATGGTAGACTTATTATGTCAAGAGCTCATTGAAATAATATCAATAATTTTAAATTTGCAAATAAACTTTCCACAATGCACTAAAAGGTTATAATTTGATATTGCATAGAGCTAACGCGTTTTTCACAGAAGCTAAGTGTGTTTAGTTTAAAGGAATTAAAAAATTTCCATCATAACAAATAAAACTATAATTTCTATAATTTCAATGATTTTTAGCTCAATTTTGTTTATAAGGTCTTACACGCATGTAAGAAAAATTCCGCGTGGATTTATACAAGTGATTCAGGAATTTGTGTCATAATTTTAATCACGAATACTCCTCTACAAATGAGCATAGATAGCACAGTATTTATTAATCCAACTCATCCAGCAATAGAAAAATTACAGCTTTTATAATCATCAAGAAATAAACAAATGTTCCTTTAGATTTAATGAAATTTACATTAAATATTGACAGCGATGTCATTCGTAGTGGATTGTTTCCAAGGTACGCTCAAAATTTATAAATTCTGATTTTGCAGCGCGGTGTAGAATTTAGTTTAAACTCAAATAACTCTAGAACGGTACATTTTGGTGACATGAAACTACCTTTTTTATAAAAAAAAATGGTTGGGCTGCATCAAAAACAGAAATTAATAAGCCGAAAAAAAGTTATGATCCCAAAACTGGGAGGACCCATTGCTACCGGAAATGTATAGCTTCTACAAGACTTTCGTTTACACCAAATCAAAGAGTGTCTTTTTGTCCTTTAACATGCAAAATTTAATAATAATCGGATAAACGGAAACAAAAATATTTGCAGAAAATAATTTTTTCATAAAGATTTTTGGAAAGTTGTAATTTTTTTGAGGTGGGTCAATAAATACTGAACTATCTATTCTCAATTGTAGAGGGGTATTCGTAATTAAAATTATGGCACACATTTTGTAATCAACCGATATAAAATATCGTTTTTACTTAATTTAATTTAATTTTAATTTTTTTTTAATTATTAGTGGGCATAAATAATGGAAAAATCTAGTATAAATTTGGTGCACAGAAACGAAAAGAAAAACAAAAATTAAAATTACAAGCAGCCTCTGAAGACGTTCATCTAAAAACTTTATTTTCGTTTATTAAACCATCATGATTTCAACTGACGTCACAATCTCAATAGAGAAAACAAACTCCTTCAAAAAAATTTACTACATTAAGTGACTTATCACTTAAACTTAAACAAAACTTAAACTACTTATAGTTTTTATACATATTTTTGTCGTATTGTATATTGGGCCCTCATTTCAACTTAGCACTCCATATAAAAATTTGCCAGTCCGCCCCTGATCTTAATTATAATAATTTGTGATTACTCTTACTATTACTGTATTTTAAAAGAACTATCTAACAAATCCTAACTTAAAAACTCCCATATAGGCATCAAAATGTTACTTCAAATTTTTTAATACGAAATTAGTAAATTTGCAGTTTACTAAGATGTAATTCGAGTTTAAATAAATTAGGTATATTCAATAACGCGTCGCTTTTTTGTGCCGGTTTTAATTTAGTCGTCTGCAATGCCAAATCCGTGATCCCGCCGAAGTAGCTAATTGGTACGCCCCTGAGATTCCATTAACAGCAACACGGTGTTCTCTCAGAAGACATTTATTTTTACGGTAACTCGTCCTTAATTTTATTCTGTTTAACTAGACTTGTTCGTTTTCTATTAAGTCGACGCTAGCTTATTATTATTCAAATACCGGAAACAGGCTAATAAAAAAGTATACTTACTTGAAACCGTCTCATGTCTCTGGGATTGCCGGCATTTTTCAGACAGTTTTGATTGCACTTTAAGAAGAATTTGAGAAAGAATCTGAAAATAGAAACATCAGACATTAGTAATAAAAGAAAAAATCTCAAAATCAATTAAACAACAAACGCAAATATTCACTCGTATTTAGAACCGGTCATAAACATATTAGCCGGAAAATGTTTTTCGACATTTCATATGCGTTAACTGAAGCGCGACCGAAAAGGGGAATTGATTGCCAATACCCGATAACTGTATCAATTGCGTTTTTATTTCGATGCCATCCGTGGGTTATTGCCAGTCGGTTTGCGACGCTTTTAATTTGAAAAAATAACGAATTTTGATTTGCGCGTAACGAAGTGAATTTTTTTAATGAAACATGGACGCCAAGAATTATTTATCTTAGTGAGGGTGTGCTTTGTAAAATCCAATTCTCGCCTGACAATGGGAAGGAGGACCTCCATTATTTACACTTCGCTTCCACAAAAGGAAGTGAGGGTATATGTATTTACAAAATGAATAAGAAAGGCTTATGTATCAATGTTAGCTACGAAATAGTTTCCAGAGAGAACTTGCCGAGCTCATTTCAGGGCCAATTTACTTTCGGAGCCTTCTCTTTCATAAAGATGTCACGAACATAGCAAGACTTAATGAGAGGCTCCGCCGACATTTCATTCGAAAAAAAACTTTTTTGGAATTAATAACAAATTAAAATTAATTGTTAGATTTGTTTTATTGCGACTATCATAATTTTTCGGGTCGCTGATTGGGAATGTGGAATGCAAACAGTGGCGTTGCACACGTGGACCCGACGTATTTTCACGCTCGAGTGCGTGCAGGATTCCGGTGTTCTTTCAGTCAACTTTGACGACTCACTTCGTTCCGGCAAGTCCATTGAGGATAAGTCGCGGTCACATACATCATTCAGGCCTGATCAAATATTGTCAGTGAACAATTCCTTTTGTGCGTACGAAAGTTTCCCGCAGGACCATTAAATCGCATCGCACAAATGTGGATAAACCTTAATTATATGCTCGAACAAGTTTGCGATTGTTTTTCACGAATTAAACGAACGAGTGAAAAGATAGTTAATAAATAACCAAGGAAAGGGACTTCCCCACCCACGTTAATTTGTAACGAAGATATCTGGCACTTCTTTATATTCTGTGCGATCGTTATCGCCAGCTAAAGCGAGTAATTTATCTTGAAGAGGCTGCGAGAATTAGAAGAGGGCGTTTCCGGAATCGGACCGGATCAGCACATTACCGGAAAAAAAACGACTAATGCAAGCTTCAGCACGTGCAACGGCGCGACGACGAGCTTAGGACTTGACAAATTGAAAAACTAGATCAACTAAGATGTTGCAAAATTATCTTTTACGAATTTATTTTTCTAATCATTTTTCTACAGAGATTGTTTATTTAAAAATTCACGTACCAGAAAGAGATTTTTATTGCTTTTTCTATCTTTCACAATAATAAAAAAACCTATCTTTACCTATGATTAAAAATTATATGTTGTGTCACTTATTTGTGATATTTTTGTTTGTTTTTGGTTAGTTAATAGTTATCTACAGAAGGTCTTATAGCTGGAACGCTCTGGGTCTTTTTCTTTGCAATAAAATCTTTATAATTTACAGAGACGGTTGTAACTTAATTTTGTTAAAAAAAATTGTTTAAAAATAGATTTTTTGTGATTTCTTTTCTAAAAAGAACGAGCTTTAAATGGGTCCAGAGCGGGTGTCGTTGTCATAATCAAGTTTGACATGCAGTATTCGCTCCGTGTTGGTAATAGAGACACAGAACGGTAGCGGAGTATTATCTTATTACCACGGCCCATATGGCCTTAGGGCTCGTCGGGTGCCTTATGTTGCCACTGTGCGCTAACTAATGTATGCTGGATACTGGGGTAGCAGCGGACTTGCCAAGATAAATAGACCGGCAGTAGCCCGAGGAAAGGAGACTAACACGATATAAAGGACCCTTCGCATTCGCCTTCTTGTAACCAGATTACACAGTGCGATATTCGACCGCAGAATTATGCCAATTGTGCATAGTCACGTAAACAGGACTGGCATGTCGGGCTAGTGAGCTGTGTAATCGCATCTTGGAGCTTGATCGGGAATTTGCTGTTCGCTTCGGCGACTTTAGTACGCGCTTCCGTCTTAGACGGTCCGCCTGTAATGGAAACCCCATCAAATATTAACATCTCGTGATATGGGTTTTATTAATTGATGACAGCCGAGAAGCAGCCGATCTGCATAATGCATGGTCTTGTTGAAGGTCGGCCCTAAGTCGCGACGCCAAAGATAACTACACCGGAGGGACTAAAACGATGGACGCGTATCTTAACATTCCAGAAAAATCATTAAAAAGTGACGAGAAAAATGTACCAACTTCATGTCTCATATCCTTATTCAATTGAATACAAAAACAAAATAGAAATTAAAGAAGAATATACACAAAAATAAATGCATCAAAAATTACTTAATGAACTAATTAACGTTTAAGTTAAACTAAAATTGCGACTTAAACTTCAACAATTAAACTACAATTTAATGATTGTCAAAAGAAACAAAAAACGAATTTTGCGTGGATCAGTTCTTTAACTTAGATAAGCTTTTCTTACATTCGGAGGAAACCATTAATACCTAGTATTGCTTCCTCGAACCTGGAAAGAAGCTCAATTTTTTATTGTTGTCTCCCGGAAATTAGAGGTGATTTTGATAATTTGACATTTATTCAGTAAACAATGAATCTACGCCAATTGTTTTTGAAAAATCTATATTCGACTGAGTTACTTGATAATACTAGTATCCTATACCAGCAATTTTAGTACTATTTTCATAACCATTTAGCCATTTTAAATCTTAAAATTTAAGTGATGCGATAATTATGCTGTTCAGTGTATGTTGCTATAGAAAAATATAAGAAAAGTACTAATATGTAATTAAAAAAAAAAAGATTAATGGCTAGTGGAACTAGAAAATAGACGTGTTTCACACGTTTTTGTCTTCTTTACAAAAGAAAATGTTAATACATATTTCCAGGTAAATGAAGGATTTTTCAAAAGAGGTTTTTGACAAATTTTACAAGAAAGATTTACAAAACTTAAAAAAATTAATTGCACTTATTGATTATTACCGATTATATATACAAGTATGTACAGTGGCGGAAAATATAATCGCGTACATTGTTAAAATCAAGAACACTTTTTTTCTAACTTTTTCAATGTGTAAATTAGTATTTTTTGAAGTTTCAAAGTATTTTTTAGAAAAAAGATTATACTTTTTTTTGTTTCCATCTCTTTTTCACTCTTAAAATTAAGCTTTTGTTTAAATTCTATTAGTTTGCTACTACTTTTATGCTTACAGCCCTCCTCCAGTTTAGACAGTAAGATTTTTTGCCTTGAGTAAGTTTTGGTATTTATACTATTTGACACTGATATGGTTTATGTCATGTTAATGTTCACTTAATGCAGGAAAACAATGGTGTACGCGATTTTATTGTTCGCCAGTGTACAATAATATTTATGCAAAGTCAATGATAAAAAGTTTTCTTAAAATTATTTGTAATTTTATTATGCAGATATTGGGGTAGAGACAGTTGTAGATTTTTTTTATTATTTTATTTGACCTCATTTGGCATAGTCAAGTTCGCTTGAGGCAAGAGGATGTCGAGTTTATTTTCGTAATGTGGTAAAGCAGGGGTCACAAAGCAGATCCCTGCGGCGCTCTTCAAATTTACGTTTAACCTTAAATGAGACCTTTTTGTCTCATCTTTTTTTAAATTAACTGGTAGATGTTGTTTGGTTAGTGGGGATTCTTGTTGGAGTGTTTTCGTTGTGTGAAGTTATTCAAATGAATTCCTTGCCGTATGAAACGCTAACACCTTTAAACTCTCTGTTTTCAAAGTCTAATAAATCTCACTCGAGCCAGCGCGTTAGTCATATTATTACGTTATTTAGTACAACCTCAGGTTATTTACGCGACGTATAATATCATTATAGCAGGACATGAATATGAACCCTGCCTCCCGGGAGACTTTTCTCGTGTTTTACCGTTTACTCTCACTTATCTTACTGTTTGTATGCTTTTAAAATTTACCTGATAATTTTAAAGTCTAGCATCACAATGTTCATGGTGTTATTTACGGTTCTCGCTGGAGCTCAACGGATAATTTTTTATCTTGGCACTTTTGCAGAAAAGTTCGGAAACCGCTGCGCAACCGACCGACCAATTCTGTCTCTAAAGTTGTTTCGAGTTAAGTTTGTTATGCTTGTACTTTGAGTTAAGCAAGAGTTCGCTTTGCTTTAACAGTTCCCAGTCTCGTTAGCAACTTAATTTATAAGCGATTCATAATGCGAAAAGTGTCGAGATGAAATTGAGTGAAAGTTTGAGTCATCACGAATACACAACGAATGAAATTTACAACTGTGTAAACTTTATTATTTTACGTCACTCAAGCACTCTTAAGGATGAATAACGATTTCACCTGCTTGGCTTTCACAATCCCAGAAGCATTTACTCAAAAAATATTCTAAATTATTTTAGATTCGTCTAAGATAATTTTGGATTGAATTTACAGCTTCGATATTTTTGTATAAGATTTCTTAATAAGTAATGTCGATTCTGCGTTTGAAAGAGCTGCTAAATAATAAATTGTATTTAAAGTTGCAACTCGTTTCACATTTCACAAAAACTCGTGCTATTCAGAACGCGATTAAGCAAGAATTTTTGTTAAACTGGCCCAAAATTGAATTAAATCTTCCGTCGTGGCGCCATGTTAATAAAGTAAGTGCTTTTTTTCTCGTCCGTATTTCCCCCATTTGCTAATTTCGCGGTGACTTCGAATCGAGTAGCTTCCCGATATTTCTGCCTCACTATCTATAGAAAATTTGGACAGAAACTCTGTGTGTTCGTCTACATGAGCACGTTTTTCGTTTTGTCTCTCTTCCCTCTCTCTTGCTCCAGGTTCCCTAGGGAAGGGCTCCCTCGGGTCGGTATTGACTCTTCTCTCTCCCCTGAGCTGGTCGTCAATACCGCAGGGAGCCAACCGTACCGT